GCTGGTGTAACCCTGTAGTGTAGACGCAGCCGACAGCAACGGGAGGGGTTTTTCCTTGGTGCAGGAACTCCACCTCCCCGTGCAGGTTGACAGACGCACTCTTCCATTGACCCAGTTGTGTCTACACTGGGGGTTAGGCTGGCTTTGCTCCCGTGCTCACGGGTTTGGATTTATCAGACCTCTGAGAGGCCTCGCTAGGCCAACTTACATTGTAAGTGTAAACCAGGCCAGAGCCAAGAACTGGAGGGAGACGCTTGTGCTGCAATTCAATGTCTTATCCACAAGGAAAAGGAGTACTTGTGGCACCTTAGAGACTAACCAATTTATTTGAGCATGAGCTTTCGTGAGCTACAGCTCACTTCATCAGATGTTCATGCTCAAATAAATTGGTTAGTCTCTAAGGTGCCACAAGTACTCCTTTTCTTTTTGCGAATACAGACTAACACGGCTGTTCCTCTGAAACTTATCCACAAGGTTCATTGATGTTGACGGAGCTATGACAGCTTACGCCATCTGAGGATTTGGCCCAGAGAGTTTAAAGTAGCCTCAGTCCATAGGCGCCGACTCCGGGGGTGCTCCGGGGCTGGAGCATCCATGCGGAAAAAACAGAGGGTGCTCAGCACCCACTGGCAGCCCCACGGATCAGCTCCTCCCCCCTCCCTCCCAGCAACTCCAGCCCGCCGCGGATCAGCTGCTCAGCGGCATGCAGGAGGCGGGGAGGGGTGGGGATGGAACGGTGCGGGAAGAGGCGGAGCAGGGGCGGGAAGACACAGGGTGGGGCGGGGCCTTGGGGCGGAGTGCGGGTCGAGCACCCCCAGGGAAATGAGGAAGCCGGTGCCTGGGCCTAAATCCCCTGCCAATTGTTGTGGTTTTTAAAAAATGGTTGTTCTCTTCTCGGCACAGGACAGAGGCACACACAGGGGCACTGGACTATGGGGCAGATTTCGGCCGTTATACCAAGTACAGAAAAATGGGGAAAGTAACCAAAATAAATATAAAGTCCAGAAACGGAAGGAAAAAAAGCCGTAGATTTTTAAGGCCAGAAAGGGCCATTCCGATGATTTCGTCTGATCTCCGGCGTAACACGGGCCGGAGAATCGCATCCGGTGATTCCGGCACGGAGCCCAATCCTTGTGGCGGAGCGACAGCTCTTAGACCAACCCGATCGTGAGTCAACGAGTCCACCACGTCCCTCGGTAAGTTGCTCCGATGGCTACTTCCGCTCACGGTTAACAAAGGGGCAGCTTATTTGCCGTCTGAATTTGTCTTGCTTCAGCTTCCAGCCACGGGATCTTCGTCTGCCTCAGTGTGTTCGACTCGAGATCTCCATTAGCAATCCTCTTCCCGTGTAGGCTGTGAACAAGTCTCCCCTGAACGCTGTGTGTGATAAGTGAAGTAGACGGACCTCTTTAATGTCATCCGCTGCCCGGCACGTTTGCCAGAGCTTAAATCCTTCTTGTAGTTCTCTGAAACAGCTACAATTTTTCAACATCTTTGTAAAGAGACAGCTCTGACCTCCTGAGGTAGTGGGTTAAAAAAACCCTCGCTCATCTTACAGTGTGATTCAAAGTTGTCAGTTGATCTTCGACGCCTCCGGAGTGCAGTTGACCACAAAAGAGCAGATATCGCTTTCATCAGGCGACAAAAAACACTTAGCACTATTCCTCTGTACGTGTGAAAGGCGTCTCTTAACTGCTCATTATAGATATAGTTACAATTACCAGGCCATAGCTCAGTGCTCCCCAAACTGTGGGGTGGGCCCCCCTAAGGAGGGCACAGAGGAACGTTTGGGGGGGGCCCAGGCCAGCCTCCACGTGGGGCAGGGAGTGAGCACTACCCAGCCCCACTCTGCCCCCAGCTCTGCCCCACCCCCAGCCTTGCCCCTGGCTCCTGGCCCCAGCTCCGCTCCTGGCTGCAGTCCCAGCTGCAACTCCAGCACCGGCCATGGCCCCAGCTGCAGCCCCAATCCCGGCGGGGCAGGGACCCGGTAAGGAGGGGGCCGGGTGGGGCACGACCAAAAACGTTTGGGGACCACTGCCATAGCCCCAGCCAGCATTAACTGGCCCAGCTCCTTTGACTTCTACCAGCTGGGGATTTGGCTCTAATGACTCTAACGAGCTATGGCCGATTTACCGCAGCTGGGGAGCTGGTGACCGTGAAGTGTATTTTTATCACAGAAGCCCAGCGCGAAGAGGAACTGCGAGTGAACTCTGGCTCCCTCTGCTGTCTGCCCCCCAGCACGTAGTCAGTATTGTACCATGGCACGTAAACAGATTTGGATGTGTCGACACCTCCCCTTTGGGGATACAGGGCCTGATCCCCAGTGACTACGTTCCTCAGCTCAGGCTGGGATTTAAGTAGTTTTAACCCCCCTTTTTGCTTCCCCTATTCTGGGTCTGTGCAGAGCTCTGCCTGCCCCCTGGTGTAAATCGGAGCAGCTTCAAGGCTGCTCTAGTCTACAGTCTGTTCTCTATTGGCCTTAGGTAGCACAGAATAGGCGTAGCACAGTGAAATTCCAATAAGCTTTGGATCCGAACTTCTGTCAGGCTCCTTTTTGGCACCCCCCCCGCCCCAGAGTGTGGTGCTCGTTAGTGCTGTTATAACGAATGCCAGCCTCGTTATCTGTTTCTGGGAGAGTCCCTCTCGTGCTAGTCAGGAATCTTTTGATAAAGCCACTCCTTGTTTGAAAATGCCGATTCAGTGAACGCAAATCTTTTTGCGGAAACAGAGCTGGTTTGGTGAAACTTTCCTTGGGACGAGTTCTCACAGTCAGGCCAGACTATGTGAGAATAGCCCGGGGGCCAGGGCCCTCACCTGGGATGTGAAAAACCCCCAGTCAAGTCCCATTCAGAGCTGCGACTTACTTGTATCTCCTCCCTCTCAGGTGAGTGCGCTCACGGTTGGGGGAGTGGGTTGCTCTCGGCTTGTTTGGGAAATTGTGAAATGGTTTCATCCCAATTTGGGACAGAATTTTTTTTTTTTAAATATCAAAATTTTTTGTGGGCTGGGAAAACCATTTCCTGCCCAACAATATACGCTCCGCCCTTTGCCTCGCGGGCGGTGAGCCGATGTCGCCTCGTTGGGCTAGGGCCGGCCGGGTTACATGGGTTGCCTGGCCATCAGACACGCACCTAACACCACCCCCAGGCCTGGCTTCAGGAGTGGGTCCGATATTCCTAATCCAGGTGAGGTCCACATGCTCATTTTTTGGACTTTCATGAGCGTCTTGACCGGGATGGTTTTTAGTCTGGGACCTCCCCCCAGACCTGTTCATCTCGGGCAGAGGTGGGCAAACTACGGCCCGCGGGGCTGCGAGCTGCAGGGACAGCATAGGTGCAGAGCCCGGCCTGACCCGGTCTCTGTGCTACGCGGTGCCTGGCTGGCTCCAGGCAGCACAGTAAGGGGGCAGGGAGCGGGGGGGCGGAGGGGTTGGATAGAGGGCAGGGGAGTTCGGGGGGGGAGGTCAGGGGGCGGGGGGTGTGGATAGGGGTCGGGGTGGTCAGAGGGAAGGGAACAGGGGGGTTGAATGGGGACAGGGGTCCTGCGGGGGCAGTCAGGAAGCGGGGGGTTGGATGGGGTGGTGGGGGGTCAGTCAGGGGCAGCGGTTCTAGGGGTGGTCAGGGGACAGGGAGTGGAGGGGGGGTGGATGGGGCAGGGGTCCGGGGGGGCAGTCAGGAAGGGGGGGGGTGGATGGGGCGGTGGGGGGCAGTCAGGGGCAGCGGTTCTAGGGGCGGTCAGAGGACAGGGAGTGGAGGGGGGGGTGGATGGGGCAGGGGTCCAGGGGGGGCAGTCAGGAAGGGGGGGTTGGATGGGGCGGTGGGGGGTCAGTCAGGGGCAGCGGTTCTAGGGGTGGTCAGGGGACAGGGAGTGGAGGGGGGGTGGATGGGGCAGGGGTCCGGGGGGGGCAGTCAGGAAGGGGGGGGTGGATGGGGCGGTGGGGGGTCAGTCAGGGGCAGCGGTTCTAGGGGCGGTCAGAGGACAGGGAGTGGAGGGGGGGGTGGATGGGGCAGGGGTCCAGGGGGGCAGTCAGGAAGGGGGGGTTGGATGGGGCGGTGGGGGTCAGTCAGGGGCAGCGGTTCTAGGGGTGGTCAGGGGACAGGGAGTGGAGGGGGGGTGGATGGGGCAGGGGGTCCGGGGGGGGCAGTCAGGAAGGGGGGGGGTGGATGGGGCAGTGGGGGGCAGTCAGGGGCAGCGGTTCTAGGGGCGGTCAGGGGACAGGGAGCGGAGGGGGAGTGGATGGGGCAGGGGTCCAGGGGGGCAGTCAGGAAGGGGGGGTGGATGGGGTGGTGGGGGTCAGTCAGGGGCAGCGGTTCTAGGGGTGGTCAGGGGACAGGGAGCGGAGGGGGAGTGGATGGGGCAGGGGTCCCGGGGGGGCCATCAGGGGGTGAGAAGCGGCGGGGGGGGCAGATAGTGGGCGGGGGCCAGGCCACACCTGGCTGTTTGGGGAGGCACAGCCTCTCCTAACCCGCCCTCCATACAATTTCCAAAACCCAATGCGGCCCTCAGGCCAAAATGTTTGCCCGCCCCTGGTCTAGGGTGACCCTACCAGGAGCCCTAGGCTCCAGACGACATAGCCCTGGGGTTCATCAGAACACGTCGAGGTAACGATCCTCAGAGGTATTAAGGGAATATTAGATTTAAACCTCTAAAACACCTGTCCAGTAGTACCACGACAACGGAGATATGGTGTTGTCGAGTTAGTGTAGTCGAGCGTTGTGAGGAGAGTTTTTCAGCAGGGAGCGGGAGGGAGCAATGGCTGGAGAGGTAGGATGCTCCCCAAGAGATGATGAATGTGTAAGTTCTGCATCCACGGAGGAGGCTGCATTGGCCCTTTAAGTGATCTTAGCCATCATGTCCCCTCCTGCGGCGCTTGGCTTCCTTCTAGAGCACTCGGCTGCTTGCAGATGAAAGGTCTCTCTGAGTAGCACCGGGAGCTGCTGACCCCATGTTCGTTCAGGTAGGTGCACTGCCCTTCCCCTCTGACCGGAAACCTGCAACGAGAAGTGGTGTGGGGTTATCAGATGCAGCCGGCTTCCATTCCTGCTCACGTCCAGGGAAGCGATGTGGTCCAGCGGTGGATGATGCAGGGGAACTGGGTTCTCAACCAGGCTTTGCTACTAATCAACCCTGAGCTAGTCACTTCTAGCTGTAAAAGTCACAGTGGACGCTGATCACCTGAAAAACAGGCTCACAGAGAACAGGCAACAGAGGTTGTCAAGTTTCTTGCAGGTCTTTCCAGTGTATGAGGGGACATAGGCCTGCAAGGGAGTTCCTGGGTCCCAGCCCCGCTCCGGCAGGCAAAACCGGCATATCGTCCTGTTCGTAGACTTCTCAGACTCTGTATTCTACCTAGTTAGGTGGTTTTCCCCCACTGCTCTGACGGGGAGGCTGCTTCAGAACCTCCCTCTTCTGATGGGCAGAAATCTTCTGCTAATTTCCAGCCCCAAATTAATTCCTGGCCAGTTTATCCCTGTGTGATCTTGTGACAACATTGTCCTTTAGCTTCGGTAGCTCTTCTCCCTCCCAGGTGTCTACTCCCGAGGTATTTACAGAGAGCAATGAGATACCCTCTCATCGTGCTAGGCTCAACCAGCCAAGCTCTTTCAGTCTCCTCTGGTAAGAGACACTCTCCATTCCCGGGAGCATCCTAGCTGCACTTCTCTGCACCTGTTCCAGTCTGAGTGTGTCTTTCTTGAATACAGATTAACAGAACTGGACGCATTAGTGCAGCTAGACTGGAAATCAGGCAGTACCTCAGGGGAAGCAAACCTCATAAGAACGGCCATGCTGGGTCAGACCAATGGTCCATCTAGCCCACTGTCAACAGTGGCTGGTGCAGAATGAACAGAACAGGGCAATTATCAAGTGATCTATCCCCTGTCGGCCATTCCCAGCTTCTGGCAAACAGAAGTAGGGACATCCAGAGCATGGGGTTGCTTCCCTGACCATCTTGGTTGGATGGACCTGTCCTCCCGCTTTCCCTCTAGAACTCGCCTCTTCCAGCAACTTCCCATTTCTCCCAATATCTTTTTGCTGCCCCACCTGCCCCCGCCCCTTATCTTCTCCCCGTGGGTCTCCCAAGTCCTCCCCCACACTTTCCATCCATTTCCTCTGCCTCCCCTTCTGCCCCAGGCAGCCAGAGCCCAGCTGTGCTTAGCAAGGCCCTAACGCGGCTACCGAGATGCTCCCGCACCGAGCTGCCGCATCCCGTAGCCATAGAGATTCCCCTCAGCGGGGTGTCCTTGTGCATGAACGATGGGATGTGTTTGTGCATCATTGAGGGTGGTGGGGAATGTGTGTACAGAGGTGGGTGACAAACGGAATTTCCATCCTGAGGGAAATTCTCATGTTTTGGGACAAAAAGTCAAAATATTTAGATTTCCCACAGAACAGAAATTCTCTTCCCCTAAAAAAAAAAAAGATTTAGGTCGACCCAAAATGAAACATTTTCATTAGACTGGGGGGCTGATGCCTGGCATCGTGGGAATTGTCGTTCTTGGTTCTTCCGCCCCCGTTCTCTCCTATAGGTCCTGATTCCCAGCTGGACTACATTTGAAAAACGAGATTTTGGAGTTTACAAAGAACCCAAACTGAAATGACATTTGAAGTTAAAAATGAAATGAAAAATTGGGGGGGGGTCAACATTTTTCTATTAAAAAAAGTCAAATCCTGTCCCTGAATTTGCATTTTACAACCAGCTCCGCAGGAGATTCAGTTCCTCGAATCTAGAAGCTGCCTTAGGCCTTCAGGGGGCGCCAGGCTCTGGCGTGTCCCTAGCTGTGGTTATGAAGGTGCGTGTCTCTTCCTTACCAGCTCCGTCAGGGAATCAATCGAAGCCAGGGAGGCGTTGAGGGAAGAGCAGTGGCTCTGGCTCATGCTCCAGTTCCCTTCAGTCTCTGAGAAGTGGTAACAGTTCCCTTGGTATCCAACCCAGCCGTCCGGGCATGCAGCAGTGACGTGGGGCGGGCAGCGTGGGCAGGGAGGAGTCTTCTTGGCTGAAAATAAGTGAGTAACACAGTGGTGAGAGATGGACCTCTCCCTGGTGTCTGTCTCCGCGTGGGAATCCCGGCCAGAGAGAGCACTAAGCCCCACACGTCTCAGGCCTGGGTTGTCGTTTTGCATAGATCCCGAGACCAGAAGGGACCATTGTGATCTTCTTGTCTGACCTCCTGCATCACACAGGTCTTAGAACTGCCCCCAAAATAATCCCTCGAGCAGAGCTCTTACAGCAACGTCCCACTGTGGTTTAAAAACTGTCAGTGATGGAGAATCCACCGCGCCCCTTGGTAAATCGTTCCGATGGTGAATAACGCTCTCTGTTAACAGCTGATGCCTTATTCCCAGTCTGAATTTGTCCAGCTTCAACTTCCAGCCATTGGATCGTGTTAGACTGAAGAGCCCATTGTTAAATATTTGTTCCCCAAGTAGGTATTTATAGCCTGGGATCAAGTCGCCCTTTAACCTTCTCCTGTAAATAGATGGAGCTCTTTGAGTCTATCGCTATAAAGCAGGTTTTAATCCTTCTTGTGGCTCAACTCTGACCCTTCTCCAATTTATCAACATCCTTCTTGAACTGTGGGCACCAGAACTGGACACAGGATTCCAGCAGCGGTCGCACAAGGGCCAAATCCAGAGGTAAAATAACCTGTCTTCTCCTACTCGAGATTCCCCTGGTTATACATCCCAGGGTCTCATTAGCTCTTCTGACCCACCGGGAGCTCGTGTTCAGCTGATTATCCCCCATCACCCCCAAACCTTTGTCAGAGTCCCAGCTTTCCCGGACAGAGGAAATGGGCAGGGATGGGCAGCCCATTCAAATTCACCTCCTTGGGGCAAGGGGTGAAAAATGGTGGGTGCATTTCATGGACTCCCCCTCGACGTACCCTCCTCGGTGCACACGTGATGGCTGTCACACCAGGGCTAGAACTGGGGCCCTTCACAGCTAAGAGCGAGACCCGTAATGTGGGAGCCGAGAGCCCCTAGGCGGGGCTATAACAACTCATGTTCTCTGTGGCTGGGCCCAAAGGCCGGCCTGTCACACACGCTCGCTGAGGCTTTCCACGCAGGCGAGCGAAGCAGCCACAAAAACTTCGGGCAAAGGAGCCTAACAAGAGGGATGCGGGAAACGGTTTTCCCAACATCCTGAGAAAACGTTTGAGGTTCCACAGAAATTTCCCTTCCTGAGTCAGGGAGAAAAGTCAAACGTTTTCATGAACTGAAAAGCCAGAAACAATTTCAGTTCGGGTCAATGGAAACTTTGACCAGCCATGTGATTTCCCAACGCACAGACGCATTAACTAGGGGCAGAAATGCTGGCGTGTGCTCTGTAGCAAAACAGCACGTGTGGCTGTCTGGCACATGTTGGCGTGATGCTGGCTTTGCGCTTCCTGTATTCCGGGGCCATTCAGGGCCCTGACCTTCCCCTGGTGTGACTTAGAGCAGCCTCAGGGTTGCTCTAACTTACCCTCTGCTTCTCAGGCCACCTGGGAAGCACAGAACAGCTGTAATGCAGCGTGCTCTGGCCACAACCCCAACCCATCCCCTACACTCGGGGTGCAGAGCCCATGCACCAGCCGGGGAGGCCCCCTGAATTGGGGGGATTCTCAGAGGGCTCTTTGCATCCACCTTGAGTCCCCAGAGTGGTGTCAAGTGGTCTAAGGATCCAGCCCAGAGTCTCCCACTCTCCACGCAGTCCAACCCGACGCCTACAGCGTGTTCCTCCCTGTAACCATCTCCTTGTGAAGGTCTGTTTGCCCAGTGAAGCCAAGCAGCCAGCACTGACAGCTGTCACCGCACACTCCCTACAGCATGTGTCTTCTCGAAGGAATCCCGGGAACTCTTCAGTTCCTGGGGGCAGGGCACACGCACTCCAACACACCCCCTTCCGCTGCACCATCGATGCCCAGACACCAACGGGAAGAATCCGTACGGCGTGACAGTTTCACTGGGCCACGTGATTTTTACGGCGGAGCTTTGGTCCAGAAAAGAAATTCAGAAATGCTCCCAAAGCCACGAGAGACTGGCCCGGATCAGGGAGCTGAAACCTCTGCCTGAGACTCCCAGTTGCGTTTACACACAGTACGGTGGATGCAGGAGGAGGAACCATGATCAATGGACTGGAAACAACTTTCGAGACGTGCTGTGAGCCATGGCCAGACGGTGGAACCCAAACCTACGGCAGTTTAAGGTGAGACTGGGCGTTGGATGACGCAGGTGGTGTGAGGCAGGGAGACCCACCCACTGCCTCCCTACACGGCTACCCAGGCCTGGGCCCTAGTGGGGCTGCTTCCGAGGGGGCAGGGAAGGGGGTGTCCTTGGCTTCGTCTCCTGCTACTCAAGGCCACCAGAGCAGCTGGGCCAGCCCAGGGGATGTTGTAAACTAGAGTTTGCTCACTTCTCACCTTCAGGCTTGACAAAGCCCTGGCTGGGATGATTTAACTGGGAATTGGTCCTGCTTCGAGCAGGGGTTGGACTAGATGACCTTCTGGGGTCCCTTCCAACCCTGATATTCTATGATTCTATGATTCTAGTTTAAGGAATAAAGCGTTTCCTCCTATCCGCCTTCCCAGCTGGAGGGAGGGACCAGACTCCCCCGGCATCACCGCAGCCCCCCCACCAGGATGTCCCCAAAGCAGCTGCCCGGTGGGGATGCGGCGGCTCCTACGTGGTGTTACCCCACCACCACCGCACGGCAGCGGTGATAACCCCCTCAGCCAATCGGGATCCGGCACTATTCCTGGGGGCCAATCCGCCACTGCGCCGGCTCAGAGCAGGAAGCCAATGGGTCTGTGGCCAGAACGACTCCAGGCTGCTGGGGCTGGGCCGTGTTGGCTGGGCCCCCCTAAGCTCTTCCGGTGCGAGAGAGACAGAGGGCGTGCAAGGGAGCGTGCACGCACAACAAAGAACGTGCAAAGCCTGCGAGTGTCCAAAGTGCATTTTGATGGCCGCTCTGGAGATCCTGAACCGAGGGAAGGTGGGGAGCTTGTGGCCGTTCCGGCAGCGAACGCCGGAGAGCCTGATTCCCAGCAGAGCGAGTGCCACTCGGGCAGATGTCAGAGTACGTGCGTGGGGGAGCGGAAGGATCTAACCACTAGGTCGCTGCCCCCTCCAGACAGAGAGGAGTCACTGAGTTGGCTCCGTCTCCCATAGACCTCACCAGCAGATCCCAAGGGAAATCAACATCATTATCCCTGCTTTTACATATGGGAAACTGAGGCATGGAGTGGGGAAATGACTGGCTCACAGTCACACAGCAGGGCCAGAGCTGGGAAGAGAACCCAGGTCTCCTGCATGCCAGCCAAGTGCTCTATCCATTAGGTCATGCTGCTGTCCCTAACGGGGCTACTCTCATCATCCATGGGGGGGTTCTATGGAGCTGAGTGCATCCCAGAGCTTGATTTTCCCAGAGGCGCTCAGCAATTGCCATTCCTGTTGGCTCTGGGTGGGGTTGCGGGTGCTGGGAATCTAGGCCCTTCCTTTTTGGGGGAAAAGGGTCTGGAGAGAGATTTCCCCTCTGAAAAGGGGAATGTGCTTCCACGGAGGCATCAGACCAGGGCAACGACAGGGTGGGAAACGCAAGTGGGCCCTGTGACCTTGGGGCTCGGACAAGCGGTGAATGAAGAATACGTGACAAGGGAATGAGAATCGGCAGGGTTAGGAATGACCCTTCACTCACCCGCCAGCGCAATTATGGTGATGATCAAAGCTGTGATGACGACAGTAACGGTAATTGGGATCTGTTTATCTTTAATGCATTTTAGGCTGAAATCTGCAAAATAGAAAAAGACATGAAAGGAGACGAAGGCGTTTCAATAGCAAATGCTGCCGGCGCGTGAAAATGCTCATGTTTTGCTAAGTGTAACCCACACACCTCCTGGGTGGGGTGTTCTGTCCCACCTAGTGGCACCAAGACCACTTAGAGAGAGAGATTAATGAGTCTGCTCTGCAGCCTTAGCTAACAGCCAGTTGGCTTTTAGTTCATGCGGTCGAGGTTCATGCACTAAGCTGCAGAGGTCCCAGGTTCGATCCCGCCCACCAACGACTGGGGTCTGTTGGCGTTACACTTCCATGAGTGGATAAATCTAGTTGTTTGATGATCAAGGGCATGGAATAGCGTCCATATGAGGAGAGACTACAAAGATTAGGGCTGTTCAACTTAGAAAAGAGATGACTAAGGGGGGACAGGATAGAGGTCTATAAAACCATGAACGGTGTGGAACAAGTGAATAGAGAAGTGTTATTTACCCTTCCCACAACACAAAAATCAGAGTTCACCTGATGAAATTAACAGGAAGCAGGTTTAATACAAACAAGAGGAAATACTTTTCCCTACAACGCATAGTCCACCTGAGGGACTCATTGCCATGGGATGTTGTGATGGCCAAAAATAACTAGGTTCCAAAAAAGAACGAGATAAGTCCTTGGAGGACAGGTCCATCAATGGCTATTAGCCAAGATGGTCAGGGATGCAACCCCATGCTCCTCCGACTGCCAGAAGCCAGGAGTGCAAGGCAGGGGGGGATCGCTCAGTAATTTCCCCTGTCCCGTACCCTCCCCCGAAGCTCTGATAGTGGCCACTGTAGCAGACAGGATACGGGGCTAGATTGACCATGCTCTGACCCAGTGGGGCAGCTCTTATGTTTACAACTTTTCCAAACATCTAAAAAATATATTTTCAATAAAAATTTCACCAGAAGATCAATGCAAAAGAAAAAGCAAGAAACACCTTTATTTCACCAAAAATGGAAAAGCCAAACAACTCTGACAATTCTGGGTGAAAAAATTGTTTTTCAATTAAAAAAAACAAAGAGGTTCAAAAATTTCACTGAGCTCTCTTCACCGGCTTTGAAGGACCTTCTTACTTTCCAGATTGCTAGATCAGGGACCTTGCTGCCATGAGCTGGTTGACTGGGAGAGTGATTTTCATGGTTGCCCAGAGTTACTCGGGCTAATTTGGGGGCTACCAGGATATCCCAGAACTTGCCTTTAGAAAGGGCATAAAATCATCAGCAGTAGAAATTGAACTCCTGATTTCTGGATTTAAAGGCGCAAGCCATTACCACTTGAGCTAAAGGAACCTCACCTTAAGGGCCTGTCTCTCGCTGTGGGTCTGGGCAGCGCCCGGCTCAACGGGGCCCTGATCTCAGCTGGGGCAGGGACTGTCTCTCCCTGTGGGTCTGTTCAACACACAATGGGGCTCAGCTGCTGTCTCTGGGTGTTACCGTATTATACCTAATAAATAATATAATTATTTACCGACATCTCTTCTCCTTTCTGCCACTGGTCCGTGCAGCATTGAGACATTCGCTCCTCTACCTACCAGAAAGCAAAAGAAACTGTCATTTAAGGTCAGATCATACAGTCCCCTCCACGCAGGGCCCAGTGCTGTGTATGGAGCCCAGGCCTTTTGAATGTATCCATCACTGCTTCCCCTCCCCTCGCACATCCCAGAGTGACTGGCAGTCCCCAGATCTTGCTATCCTCACCCCACACAGCCCGGCCTTAGCCTGATTGAGGGGCTCCAAGCAGATCAGAGAGCATGGGAATGCATTTGACAAATTGTGTGCCATGTCCCCCTCTAGTGGCTGGTAAGAGGATAATATCTCTGCCAACATTTTTGTTAGCATTATAACAACTCGGGCTCTTCCTGTTCTCCATAGAAATGTCCAAACCCCCTTGGAATTCTTGCTAAGTTCTTGGCCTTAACATCATTGGTTGATGTCACCTCGCAGTGAGTTCCACCGCCTAATTACCCAGTGCGTGAAAAATTGTTTCCTCTGATCCGTTTTGAAGTTCCCACCTTTCCGTTCCATTCCTTTGTGCTTGTGCTTGACACGGATCTACCTTCTCTAGCCCATCCATTATCCTGTCCCTTGTACCCGTCTCCTCTCCAAGGTAACGGCCTCAGTCTTTTCAAGCTCTCGTCACAGGAGAGGGTTCCCAGGCCCTTGATCCTTCTCGTCACCTCTCTCTGAACCCCTCTAGTCTACAATATCCTTTCCGAGATGGGGTGCACACAGTATTCCAGATTTCAAGCCTTTCACTACACCAGATCCCCTGTTGGCCAGAGTCCTTCAGGGTGGAAAAGACCCAAATTGCCAACATAAAAAACAAGCATGAACCAAAGAGCAACAAAAACTCCTTGTATCCTGTCTTTATCCCTCATAAAAATGAGGAGGTAACCCAGCCACCATATTTTTGTCCCTCTGCCAGTCACACCGCAGGCTCCCTTTTAATTAAGACCAAAGTGTTTCTTATTTACTGGTATCGCTTGTCACTTCGGCGCTCTCTTCGGCCATTTTCTGGACAATCAGCACCGAGACTGCTGTGTCTCCACCTACCAGGAAGGAACAGAGACGGTCACTCAGGGTGGGTTATTTTAATTATGCACTTCTCCTTTAAAGCTGTCAGAACATGCCAAATGCAACAGACAATGCCCGGTCCAACCTCTCACTGTGTCCACCTAGGTGTTTTCAGTGCATCCGTCACCATGTGAGACCCACGGTCGTGGCCCCCGGCCTTAATATCCTCAAATACCCAACAGTCCCCACCCCTTCTTCAGAGATTCATAGATTTTAAGGCCTGAAATAGGGCTGTCAATTAATCGCAGTTAACTCACGTGATTAAGTCAAAAAAATTAATCACGATTAAAAAACTTAATCGCGATTAATTGCACTGTTAAACAATAGAATACCAATTGAAATTTATTAAATATTTTGGATGTTTTTCTACATTTGTAAAGATATTGATTTCTATTACAACGCAGAAAACAAAGGGTACAGTGCTCACTTTACATTATTATTTTTGATTATAAATAATTGCACTGTAAAAATGATAAACAAAAGAAATGGCATTTTTCAGTTCACCTCATGCAAGTACTGTAGTGCAATCTCTTTATCGTGAAAGTGTAACTTACAAATGTAGATTTTTTTCTTACATAACCGCACTCAAAAACAAAACAATGTAAAACTTTAGAGCCCACAAGTCCACTCAGTCCTACTTCTTGTTCAGCCAGTCACTAAGACAAACAAGTTTGTTTACGTTTACGGGAGATACTGCTGCCCCCTTCTTATTTACAATGTCACCTGAAAGTGAGAACAGGCGTTCACATGGCACTTTTGTAGCCGGCCTTGCAAGGTATTTACGTGCCAGACAGGTTCTATCTCGTCACTGTAGCTTTTGAGCTGCACACACAGTGACAGTCCCTGCCCCACTGAGATCAGGGCCCCCTTGTGCTGGGCGCTGCCCAGACACACAGGGAGAGAAAGTCCCTGCCCAGTTGTGCAGACACAGTCCCTGACCCAAAGAGCTTCCAATCTAAACAGACAAAGGGCGGGAGGGGAAATCGTGCAGAGAGGGGACTTGCTCAGAGTCACACCACAGTTTAGTGGCAGAACCAGGATTAGAACCCAGGTCTTCTGTCACCCACTCTGCTGCTCCAGGCACTAGACTACAGCATTGCTGTGGTTTTTTGTTCTGATTAGCATGGGCCTGGCTGGAGCCCTTGGCATAACGAACAGGCCTGACCTTGGCATAACGAACAGGCCTGACCTTGGCAAAATAAGTTTTAGCTAACACCAAGTAAGCATATCCTGAGCGGAGAGGAGGGTACAAAAACACGCAGATCTCTCAAGAGACTACGTCAGCACATTCCCAAGGGGCAGGAACACACCGACCCCTCGGACGACAAGTGGGGAGGACAGAACAACAGATAAGGATGTTTTGGTGGAACTGGAAGGTGCAAGGACAAGGGTGGTAACTAGCAACGTCCGGGGCGTCACACGGAACTTGTTTGTTTCAACGCCTGGAAAGCAGACGCCAGAGGAGGGGTGATTTACGCTGATCTAGGGGACAGGACCCTGGTGCGCTGACGGAGCAGGTACCATGGACACGGGTACACACGGGTTAGTGTCCTTGTGGCTCCTACGGGACGCTTGCGCCGTGGTTTGGCCGAGCACCTTCGCCACTGAACCGAGCCCAGGGCCTGACGAACCACACACTGAACGAACACGCGGCTCCGCGAGAGGGAACAAGGCTGCAGCAGCCGCCGCACCCCGCAGCGTGGACGGCCGTCAGTCCTTTCCAAGGGCCCAATCCGCTGACACAGCCGAGGATCAGGGACGCTGAAAATCAGGCTTCTTTCCCCAGTTCAAAGGCCAGCAGGGGAGGCCCAGAAGAGGATGGAGCCAGCGGAGGAGGAAGAGAAGGGAGCCGTGAGCAGCACCGAGGGCAGCAGGGAGGGTGAGGCTGGAAAACGAGGCATCAGCCCAGGAAGTGTCTTCAAGGACCCTGGGGCTGGTTCTTGGCCCTGATCTGCACCCTCCTGCCACCCGTACAGTGCGCAGTGACCGTCCCTGGGGCTTCCCTGCTGGGGCTGTCCCCAGCTCAGGGGAATCCCCTGGGCTAAGAGCCTGTCCTTCGCCTCCTGCCCAGGGACATCATTGCGCCTGTCCCCAACGCCCCTTGCCCCATAGGAGCCGCCCTGCAACCAGCCCCTCAGAGGTCCGCAGGGGCAAATGAGCTGGGAGCTAAACTGGATTCGTAGGGACAAAGCCGGGGAGACAGGACGGAGCCAGCCCGGTGCCCTCCCCAGCCCTGCAGATAACCCCCCCCCCCCGTCCGTCCGCAGCTCTCTGCTCACCTGGGCAGCAGCCCCTCCCCCCCCCGGCTCCCGGCAGGACAGACAGCGAGGAAAGGGTTAATTCCGACCCCAGTGGGTTTGCGGGGCTGGGACAGGCAGAGCGACAGCCCCCGCCTGCTCTGGCCCTCTACAGTAGGCTGGCGGGGGGGGGGGTGTCTATAAGTGGCCCCACAGCTCCTCCGTGGGGTGTTGAAACAAACAAGAATGAAACTGGGGAGGATCTGAGCTCAGACAAACCGTTGCCTGCCTGTGACACCGGTAGCAGGGTCTGCCAACTTTCTAATAGCTCAAAACCCAACTGCCCTTCCCTTTGGGTGCGGGAGGGGGTCAGTAATGCTACGGAGAGCAGCTTCCTGTCCCAAGTGAATAGGGCCAGTCATAGGCGCCAACTTCTCCCGGTACCGGTGGGTGCTCAACCCCCCTGCCCCCGGCCCTGCCCCTATTCCACCCCTGCCCTGTCCCTCCTGCCCCTGCCCCGCCCCCATTCCAACCCCTTCCCAAAGTCCCCGCCCAACTCCGCCCCCTCCCTGCCCCTATTGGACCCCTTCCCCAAATCCCCTCTCTGGCCCAGCCTCTTCCTGGAGCGCGCCCTGTTCCCTATCCCTCCCAGCGCTTGCCGCTGCAAAACAGCTGTTTCGTGGCGCCAAACACTGGTAGCTAGGGGGAGAAGTAGGGAAGGCGCGCTCAGGGGAGGAGGCAGAGCGGAGGTGAGCTGGGGTGGGGGGCGGGGCAGGGCAGGGAGCTGCAGGTGGGTGCAGAGCACCCACCAATTTCCCCCCATGGGTGCTCCAGCCCCAGAGCACCTAGGGAGTCGGCGCCTACGGGGCCAGTTTCCCAGCTGGGGTACATTGATCTTGCTCCACTGGATTAATGGGGCAGATCTCCAGCTGGTGAAGGTTGGTGTCACCCCATGGGAGTCATGGGGCTGATGCCAGTTTACACCAGCTGAGGCGCAGACCCTTCCTGGTGTTTTCCTCGGTTCGGTATTTATGATACGACAGGCAGGGTCCCGCCTTCCCTGTAGAACTTATCGCATGCCAGGTGTTAACAAATGTTGATTTATAAAAATGTTTCCTCCTGAGCTCTTCAACAGCTGGGAGCTTTAGCAGCGACCCCCAGTTCATGCGCTTTGCCCACATTCACAAACTGCTTCCCCCGCATTCCCAGCTGCCCCCTTCCCACCAGCCAAACCTCCATTTCCCCCTACCCCAACAGTTTCTAGATGCAGTTCTGGGCCCTCCGTTCAAACAGTCCGGACACCACAAATGATGGGAATGGGGGCGCAGAGGAAAATGAGTTGGGTGTAAGGGAAGCAGCTCACTAGGAAACTGATGGGCTGCGTGATTTTCTTATTGAATGCAATGAAACTTTGTGACGCTGAATTTCTCTCTGACCCCATGAGAATGACTCAGAAACCACAGACCTTTGGGGTAGACAGCCACAGACGTAGGTGGCGGGTATAATAGGCCAGGGGAGGCTGGCTGGACGCCTGGGCCGTGGTGGCCCAGCCTGCGGGCCGCCCCTTTCCACGAGGTCCCCACCGCCCGAGTCCCACCTCTCCTCCACCCCCCTCAGAGGTCCCCGCCACTCGCCCCATCCCTCCTCTCCCGGGGGCGGTGGGGGCCTCGTGGGGGAGGGGTGGCAACGAGGGACATGGCAGGCGGTGAGGGTCGCACGGGGGCGTGGGGTGGAGGTGAGGAGGGATGCGGCAAGTTGCGGGGGCCAGGCCGGGAGGGGGCCAAGCGGGAGCAGAGGCGGGGCCTGAGGCAGAGCAGGGGTGGTCTGTGGGCAGGGCTAGAGGCAGAAGAGATGGGGCAGGGAGCTAGCCTCCCCCAGGGGAAGCTTCACCCACCGCCCATGGCCACAGATACCCCAGACATGGACTAATGTTAGTTTGCCCCCCCTTGCCTTAGGCTGAGTATTAACTAACTACAGCCAACGTCTCTGTTCAGTGCTTTGCAACTTATTGTTCTTGGGCTGAAGCAAAACAGAGATCCCCGTAACCCTGGAGCCGCCTTCCAGGAGACAATGGTGTTACCCCAAAATCTCTGTGTAGAATAATAAGGAGGTGACATATACAACAGGTTTGACTCCTACCAGCATCTATCAACTGGGAGAATTAGAAATCTGTGTGCCTCCCACCCGTGTCGCGTTGAAATAAAGGATAGAAAGAATATAACCTTAAACAGAAAGAAGATTTATTAAGGGATAGATACAACTGGGGGAAGATTCACTTTGAGGAACGCCCACAAATAGATTCCAGCAAGGGGGCATAAAGCCCAGGCCCTTAAACTGTCCCTTGGCTGAACTCATAAATGACCGAAAAATAATGACTGTCTCTCTTCTAGCTGCAGATGGAGGACACCGGGGACGGATGGTCCGTCTCAGGATCTCTGGAGCATCGGAGGATCTGGCTCTCTACGGCCGAAGCAGGAGATCAACAGATCTGGGCCGACAGCAAAGCCTCCACTGGGTCCTTTGGTGGATGACAGGAGTCAGGTAAGTCTCAGAGTCCTTGACAGATGTTAGTAGCCGGAGTCTTGATCCGATGCCGCGCAAAGAACCTGGCCGTGGCTGCCTCCATGGCGGACAGCGCCTGCGTCACCCCGACCGTCCCTTGTGCGCTCTCGGTGATGGGCATTTCTGAGGCGCGCTCTGCCCCCAGCCGGTTCCCGCCAGCTCTCAGTCCCTCAAGTTCTGGCAGGAAACAGAGTTTTAGCAGGAAAATGCCATGAAGAAGGGTACCAAGATGGAGTTCAAGCCCTTCCTATCATATGCGCCATCTTGAATTTCTAAAGTCCATTTTGAATTGCAGCAACATTCAGAATATAACCATGTACCAAAAACACCTTACAAAGGTCTTGGGCATCTGGTCGTCTTTAAAGAGACAGGGTCCTGATAGCGTTAGATGGGAAATGATCTGTTAGACCACATCCATGCCCTGGTCAGGACTGGCCTCAAGAGAGGAGGGTTCAAGTAGAAGCAGTGAGGTCTGGAGGAATCAGTGTTGTGTGACTGATGCGCTGTCTGACCATGACCAAGTCACTGCACCTCCCTGCCTCAGTTTCCCCATCTGAAAGTGGGGTAATACTTACACACCTCCCTTGTGTTTGGCAGGTGCCTTCAACATGCAGAGTGCTATGTAAACGCTAAGTAGGATCATTAACGGAGAAAACAGTTTGGATTTTTAGGAGGCTTTTTAGCACAGCTGGGTGAAAACTTTTTTTTCCCCCCCAGAGAGAAACTTTGAACCAAAAAATGTTAATCCAAAAACTTATTCAGAATTTTTCACGAGAAAGCTTTGCCCCAACTCAAAATCGTTGTCGGGTTGAATCAATATCCCTGTGGAGTGCAAGCTAAATGCTTTGGCTGTTTATTTTTAATAACGATTTTTCTTTTGTAAGGTCATGTCTACACGTACAGCGCTGCAGTGGCCTGAGTGGGCCGGGCAGCTCCAATCAGCTAAATGGAAGGCAGAAGTCGGGGGGGGGGGCACATGACCCCACGTACCCCAGCGGCTTTGTGCCCTAGGTGACTGTCCCGCTCGCCCCACCCTAGTTACATCCCTGCATATACTGAACAGAACAGATTGTCACCCACTCACCAATCAAACACCTCTCACGGGGTTTTGCTGAAGCTTTCCCATCAAATGCTTCCTCTCTGTTCTCACAATGACTTTTTCTCCTCGTTATGCCATAGGTGCTGACTTCCCCTCTGCCCCCTGTGTGCTTGATCCCCCCACGCCTCTGGCCCCACCCCTGCACCACCCACGCCCTGCCCCAATTCCACCTCCTTCCCCCAAGTCCCCGCCCCTGCCCTGCCTCTTTACCGCCTCCTCCCCTGAGCGCGCCGCGTCCCCACTCCTCCACCTCCCTCCCGGAAAGTCCTAGGTGCCACCACACAGCTGTTAGGCGACGGGCGGGAAGCGCTAGGAGGGGGAGGAGCAGGGACGCGGCACGCTTGGGGGGAAGAGGGGATGGGGGCGGGGAGAGCTTGGCTGCTCGTTGGCGTAGAGCACCCACTAATTTTTCCCCGTGGGTGCTGCATTTAACACTGCTATGTCATCTATATATGCCCTTGCAAAATTCTGTAAACCATTTAGCACTTTGTTGACAAGTCTTTTTGAGGTTGCGCCCATGTTAATTAAGTCAAAAGGTAATATTGTGAATTCATAGAGTCCTATGTCAGGATACAAGGATTTTTTTCTCTGCGTCCTCCTCCAGAGGAATTTGCCATAACCCTGAGTTAAATCAAAAGTACTGAGATATTTAGCTTTGTTTGTTGCAATGATCTGGTGAGTTAGCAAGTGTGTCTTTCCTGGCTTGTTAGAAAACAACTCTGCATTCTCGCAGCACTGATGACACCTCTGCCCTTTTAACTGGTGTTAACTCATTACAGATCTCAATGCTTTCCAGAGTTAAACCATCTTGGCATTCAGCCATCAAATCAATGAGGTGGTATGCCTCAGTTTCCCCCTTCCACACAACAGATCATGTTTAGTATGGCTTCTGTGCTGTAGTAAACTTTAAGCCTGTTCATATGTATGAACTGTGGGGGGGCATCATCATGGGATTTTTTAAGCTGGTAAGTATCTTCATTTACCTCTTCTATTAGCACAAAGGGTCCTTCCCAAGAATGTTGTATTTTTTCATGGGGTTTAGCACCAATCCCAATACCAACACCAATCTTAAAAAAATGTTTACAAGTATAATGTTTGTCGTACCATGCCTTTTATTTAGACTGACTGTCTTTGAGATTGGTCCTAACCATATCCATCATATCTTTTAATTCTGTCCTGAACCTCTGCACATATTCAGTCACCGGCTCTTCCTTTACCTCAGTGTTCCCTTCCCAGGAGTCTGTGATGAGATCTAGGGGTCCCCTCACTTTCCTTCCATATAAAAGATCAAATGGGGAAAACCCTATTGATTCTTGGGGTACCTCTCTAAACATACAACAGAAATGGCAGTAACTCATCCCAATTTTGGCCCCTTTTATTTGCATATATCCTCAGCATGGATTTTAGGTCCCATTGAACTTTCCCACTAAACCATTTGTTTTGGGGAGATATGGGGCAGTCTAGCTGCTTCACTCTCACAACTTCCATAGCTCACTGAATAGCTGTGACATAAAATTCGACCCATGGTCAGACAAAATCTGTTTTGGAAAACCAACTCAGCCAGAGATGGTCTCAGTCTCAATGTTATCTTGAAGCAGTTGCTTTGTCTATATAGTAGCAAAGTCCATACTACCAAGATATATCTATTCCCCCTGTGGGTAGGATGTGGCATAGGGCCCATAGTGTGCTTGCTACCCTTAGAAATGCCTCTTGAATTACAGGTAAGGGATGTAGAGGAACTTTCTGGGGTCTTACAGGGCCTCTTCCTCCTTTGACATAAGTCACAAGACTTACAATAAACCCTCGCATCATTCTGTATTCCTGGTCAGTATAAATTTTTCTTTAGCCTGTCACAAGTTCTCTGTTCTCCCAAGTGACCAGCAAAGGGACAGTCATGTGTTAACATTAATCCTCCTTGGGCAGGCACGATGAGTTCCTTATAAGATTGTCCAGGGCTTTTGTTTTTCCCTGCAGGAACTTCCCTATACAACTTCCCACCTGCTTCAAAAAATCCCCATTCTCTCTTCCTGGTATTCCCTCTATAACATACCTCTTTATGCTCTCTTGAGTGGGATCCATCCTTTGGTCAGCTGCAAAATGCTGACAGCTAACTTCTGAAACAGCCTTTTCAGTGACAGGCATCAGCTTCTCTGCCCCTGGCTCTGAAGGCGTGTTGCCTTTCACTGCTATGCAGGTGACAGTCTCAACCCTCCCTTCTCCCTGCCCTCCCACCCCATCTGGAGACATGCTACTTCTCTCTGCTGCAGAGGAGTTAGAAAAGCCAGTGTGGTTTGGGCTTTGCAAAATTGGTTTGTGGGCATTCCCCAGACTTACAATATATTTCAGTAACAATCTGTGATGCTCTGTGCCTCGGGGAAACACCCTACAGCCCCATGTTCATCTTTATAAAGTGATTGTGTGGTATCCAATGCAAAGTTTGTTGGGTGTCTTCGGAAGGCTCATGATGCACTGAGCATGGTTGTTATAGTGATGTTATAGTAATTGTTACAGTAATGTTATAGTAAGGTTATAGGTTATAATTTCATGTATGTAGTTATGAGGCTGAAATCTTATTCTCACGGCTTAAAATAAGCCCAGGCAAAAACTCTCCAAGAGCAGAGAGGCAGTTTACACCTCATCAGTGCAGGTATGGGACAAATCCAGCCCAGCCGCACAGGAACAAAGGACACTGGCCTAGGCAGCAACAAAAGGATCTGTTAAACTCTCCAGGGAGTCACCCGCCTTCCTTTGGTCAGTTTGGAACTGCAATGAGGTAATGCCCACCTGACTCTGCAGGGGGGGAGCAAAGCCAAGAGGGAAGAAAGAACATGATAAAAGGGAGAGACGTTTGCCATGCTCTCTCTCTTCCACCTCCATCTACAGACATCACCACCAAGCAACTGATCAAAGGGGAGAGCCTGGCTGAAGGGCATCCAGCCAGCCTGTGCTGAGAAGCATCTAAATTTGTAAGGGCATTGAAAGTGTTAAGATCAGCTTAGAATGCATTTTGCTTTTATTTCATTTGACCAAATCTGACTTGTTATGCTTTGACTTATAATCACTTCAATTCTATCTTTATAGTTAATAAATCTGTTTGTTTATTCGACCTGAAGCAGTGCGTTTGGTTTGAAGCATGTCAGAGGCTCCCCTTGGGATAACAAGCCTGGTACATATCAATTTCTTTGCTAAATTGACAAACTTATATAAGCTAGCAGCGTCCAGCAGGCATAACTGGACACTGCAAGACGGAGGTTCCTAGGATTGGAGTGACCTAGCAGATCACCGGTCCAGACAACACCAGAGGTGAACGTCACACAATCATATAGCAAAATCTCATAAATTGACATGCAGTGATATTACACATATTTCAGCAGGATAATAATATTCGGCAGATTACGAGTTTTCAAATGATTCCTCACAAGGCATACTTTGTGCACAATATATCATAACCATATAGAAATGGTGAATTTGGGGTACAGGGTGTCACCATGGTGCATTATAAGAAATGTAGTTGGGGGGAGCCCAACCCATAGAGGAGGATAGAGGTATGAGGCACCCAAGCTACAACTCCCATGAGGCACCCTGGTAGCTCAGTTGGCTACGGGCCAATGTTGAACTGACATGAAACAAAATCATTGCTCAATGGAAAATTGAAAAAATTCAGTGAAATCGACATTTATCTTTGGAAAAATTCATTTTTCCAGAAAACACATTTTCTGTCTCAGAAATTTTTGATGGAAAATCTCCAGCCAGCTCTATTAAATATACTAGACAAGTCTTAGCATGATGTCCACACATGGACTGACTTCCCTCCCTGTAGTTCATGGAGCAGATGGGTCTTGCTTTTGAGTCTGGATTGTCATGTCTTGGTGTAGAATTCCCAGCCTGGACCCCCTGCCCAGGACCCTGTATAGTAGCTCAGAGAATCCAGTGCACACCTGAAATGTTGTGTAATGCATATTTCCTTTCCTTTTTTTTAACAAAGGATTTCATGATGCGCTATAAAGGCCCCTCTGCTTATTGGATCGGCCTCCGGAGGGAACCAGCCCAGCCCTGGAAATGAGCCAATGGCACCAAATTTAACAAGTGGTGAGTCCCTTTTAGTTCTGTTCACCCAGTGAATGATGCAGCTCACATTTAAAACGGAAGACTGGCCCTGTGGTTACGGCCCTGGGCCGTGACTTGGGAAACCTGCTTCAATTCACAGTTCTACCCCAGACTCGCTCTGTGTCCTCTGGGTACATCGCTCTGTGTCCTCTGGGTACATTGCTCTGTGTCCTCTGGGTACATCGCTCTGTGTCCTCTGGTACATTGCTCCAGGGCGGGACGCTGGATCTGCAGCAAACCAGCGGAGAAACCAGAAGGCAGAGCACAGTGACAGTGACCTGGATGAGGCTGGGCCTTGTCCTTTCAATGGGGCTGTCCCAAGCTGCCTCGTCAAGTGGGGAACTGGATGGGGCTGATGAGGAGCGGGACAGCCCCAGCAACAAGGAAGAGAGACGGTCACTGAAGGACATCAGGTAGCTGCTCCCCTTGGAACCTCTGGCACCCATGGCCCTCCCAGGCTGAGGTCAGCCCCTGTGTTTAAGTTTGTTAGCATATGTATTGTGCAGTTAAGTTGGTCAGAAGTTCTCAAGAGGGGAGGGGTGGAAAGGGGATGGAAGGTGTTTAAACAGTGTTTTTGATTCTGTTTCTCCCCATTGGTCTGAATTATCCATGACATTCATACTGCCTCACATGGGGAGGGATAGCTCAGTGGTTTGAGCATTGGCCTGCTAAACCCAGGGTTGTGAGTTCAATCCTTGAGGGGGCCATTTAGGGATCTGGGGCAAAAACTGGGGATTGGTCCTGCTTTGAGCAGGGGGTTGGACTAGATGACCTCCTGAGGTCCCTTCCAACCCTGATATTCTATGAACTTCTATAAGTCCAGATCATTAGAGAAATGCCCCTGCTTGCACTGTAAAATTGCTGGGCCACATGCATGGATTCTATGGGAATGGGAGCAACCCCCTGTCCCTGCAGCATCCCTACCAGTTCTATGCTATCGGCAACTCCTCGGGTTTCCCCAGGGAAAGCGTTGCCAATTGCAAGCAGAGAGCCACCGGGGAGTCACTCAAGTTTTGTTATGAAACTAAGACCACAACAGACTCCATCCCATTCTTCTGTAAGCGTTGTGGTCTCGAACGGGACGTACACCATCAAACACAACCAGTGACAGCCTCCATGGTGGTGGAAGGTGCAGGATAATCCCGGTTTCCTCCGCTGTTTGGGAAGCAACCATGCCCCTACGTGTCATCATTGTCATTGGAACTCAGACATCTCCGTTACCCGGAGAGAAACTGCAGCTGTCTCTGATCACGCCAGCTGGCAAGAATATCACACGATTCCTCATAACCTGGGAACCGCTGAACTGGACTTTAGCTGGACATGACTTGATTCAGCAAGGTCCCCCAGACTGGGGAGTTCCATTAAAGGGCACACATTGTGACAAGCTCATGCCAGCAATTTGGTTTAAATGCTATGGGCACATTGCCATTTCGGAGGGATTCATGAGCCCGGATTGTACAGAATGGAACAAAAAACAGTTTTAAATGTTGACCCTCTGATCACAAACCTCGCTCCCCTCTGACGTTTAAGAGCCCCAATTTCAGGACCCCATGTGTTAAAATTGGATCAACAAGAACATTTGGTTCTTCAACCTCAGACTTCTCTGAAGGAGGTTCAAATCCACTTAGAAGGCATGAGTATCTCTCACATTGCACCCGCATGTCCTCCCTTGATTGGATCTAGCCATAAGGGTTGGGATGAACGGGTAAGAATGTGGCAAGAGGCCGACCATGTAAATAGAGTAAAAAGGGAATTAAGTGATTGGATTGCACCTGCAGGAACAGGAATCTCTTCAGTTGATGCCGCAAACATAGACATTCTGGTGAATAAACTATCATATGCCATCGAAAATATAGGATAGATGGGAACCCATTAACAGCATCTTTGAAACAGTTAAGTGAGGAACAACAGTTAATAAGTAAGGCATTTCCTGGGTGGGAAAGACTCATAGAAAAAGATGAAGAGTTAATGGTGTCTAGTGTACAGTCCCTCCAGAATAATGTCTCATGGACCTCAGCGTGTAAGCAAGCTCAGGCTCTCACCCAGAACGGAATCATGGGTATGATTCGGCATAGCAGGACGAATTCCCATGGAGGCAATCAACTTGATTCGTCCCCATGTAACGGAGGAAGAATTAGTCCTCCGGCCTTGGTGGAGACTAGTTAACGCTTTGTTCAATCACAACCAGCAAAGCTTACAGTTATTCTTGATAACTGGGGCAGGCAAAGAAATTAGAGTAATCCACCCAGCAGTCCCACTGGGATTACAGATGAATGATAACACAGTAATGTACTCCAGAGATCCTAACACAGTAAATGTAAAGAGGTGTAGGAGAAAAGAAGGTTTGGGCTGTATCTGTGAAGACCAAGCATTGGAGGAACATGATGAATGCTTCTTCCCACAACCTGGGAATAAGTCTCACTGTTGCTTCGACATTATCCAGGAAGAGGGGTCTGTTATTATCTATGGTGGTAAAGCATGTGTGTGCGTAAGAACAAGTGACACAATAGAAGTTCAGACCCGCCCCCACCCCTCCCCGAGTAACCCTAATAAATACAAAAAGAAAAGGAGGACTTGTGGCACCTTAGAGACTAACCAATTTTTTTGAGCATGAGCTTTTGTTAGCTACAGCTCACTTCATCGGATGCATCCGACGGAGTGAGCTGTAGCTCACGAAAGCTCATGCTCAAATAAATTGGTTAGTCTCTAAGGTGCCACAAGTACTCCTTTTCTTTTTGCGGATACAGACTAACACGGCTGCTCCTCTGAAACCTAATAAATGAGCATACCCCAAAGTAACGGGCAAAGCCGGTAACAGCAGGAGGGGGTGTGGGGTACAAGCCTTGGAGGGTGCTTGGCTGCTGGAGGGGGCTCAGGGCTGGGGCAGGAGGTTGGGGTGCGGAAGGCAGTGAGGGGTTGGAGCTCCGGCCAGGCGGTGCTTACCTCGGGTGGCTCCCAGTCGGCGGTGTAACAGGACTAAGGCAGGCTCCCTGCCTGCCCTGGTCCTGCACCACACCAGGAAGCGGCCGACACGTCCCTGCGGCCCCTAGGGGTTTTCAGAGAACAAGCCACGGTGATTCCAAGATCTCTTCCTTGGGCGGTAACAGCCAATTTAGACCCCATCATTGTGTCTGTGTAGTTGGGATTATTTTTCCCAATGTGCATTACTTCGCACATTGGAAAAAAACATTTACTTTGCACTGGCAGGGGCTCTGGCCTATTGATTCCAATAGAGCTAGGGGGTCAATTCACAGCCACTGGGGATCTGGCCCTAGAGCCCTGTTAATACTTGTTAACCACTGTCACACAACACCTTTGTCAGCTGGCTGGTTGTGGTATGAGAGTAATATTTTCCGATGCGTGCTCAGACCACACTTCCAAAATAGATCAGCCAAGACTTCAGACAAGAACCATTCTGGCTAGTTTGTTCTTCTGTTAGACCCTCTGCTGAACTCTTTGAACTATGATATTGATCCGTTCTAATGCTACATCTCAGTGAACCTTTCACCAGCAAAATGCCAGGCACAACAGCGGCACTGGGTAAATCATTCCCAGGCTGAACCAATGTCCTCAAGTGGTGTTAAAAAGAGAACTGAAGACGGTCTTCTGGTTAATGCACTGGACTGGGACCCAGGAGACCTGGGTTACAAAGTTCTGCCACAAATTTAGTGTGTCATCTTGGAAAGTCACTTAGGAGCAGACCTTCAGAGATATTTAGGCACCTAGTTTCAATGGGAGTTGATCCTCAGCTGAGATCAGGGCCCCATCGTGCCGGGTGCTGCAGACACACAGGGAGTCCACGCTGCAAAGAGTTCACAATTGAAATACATACGAAGCAGGCAGGGAAACTGAAGCACGGGGGAAAGAAGTGACTTGTGCAAATTCACACAGCAGGTCAGAACTGAGATGAGAACAAAGCCAGGAATTTTAATTCCCAGCCCAAGAGTTTAGCCCCTGTGACTAGACCCGCCTACAGCTACCTGAAAGCTACGGTGCCTCTGAAATCCCTGGCCCCGAGGCTGCACAAGTCTCTACATTTCAAGGCCAGTTGCACTGGTTTAAGGCTGCAGGACCCAGACAGCCCTGGCTGTGACAGGACCCTTTGCAGTCACATGTGAGAGGAGCGGAATTCAGCTCTCAGAGGCGGCACTTCCTGACATGGGATTGATGTCAATTATATTCACAGACCAAGCCCCGGCTGCCCTGAGAGCACAGCCAGGTGCTCGTATCAGCTGCTCGCATCATGGCTGGGGAGATAGTCTATGCTGATCTGAACCTCCCCTCTGGCTTTCCTGGCTCCAGGACGCCCCTTTCAGCTCAGCCCCTCAGTAAGTGACCTTTATTTCCCGGGGGGTTCGCTGTAAACCCAAAGACAGATTTTGCTGGGAAGCCCAGAGCAGGTCTGTGCCAGGGGAATTTCTGGCTTTGGGGGGAGGTGGCTGCAACACTTTTGATCAGCTCTCTGTAGCTGCTCACTTCTGTGTGCGGGGCTCTCTCGGTGCAGAAGCCTGGGGTGGAAAGGGGAAGTCCATGCGCCCACTCGCCTGCCCGGGTGGTGCATCAGACTTCTCCAGTTACGACCCACCAAGCTCTCGCTGGGGGCTTGTGGAATTATAGATGGTTGCATGACGGACTCAGACTACTAGGGCATTGGCAAGAATAATTTGAACTGCTCGGACACGACCCTAGAGTGGGGATGAGCCACAAAAGCTACTGCACGAACTCTACGTGCTATTGAGGGCTGTCTCTGGCTATATGCACCTGCAGCCCCCAGCCCAACGGGGCCCTGATCTCACACAGCCTCTCAGGGTGCTACCGTAATTGACTCTTCCTTCCGAGGAAAACCGGTACACACAACCGTAATGCTGCCTCTGGGCATCCTCTGTAATGGTCCACGGAGCTGCTACTCGAAAGCTGAGGAGCGCTGGCTGGGCGGGGAAGGCTAGCTTCCGGGGTAAGCCCCTGCACTGGGAATCTGGACATGGTGGGTCCTTATTTTGGTCAGGTGCTCAGCCCCCCAGAGCTGGAGCCAGTTTTCCGTACACAGCTCAGCACCCAGCCTGCCTCGGCCCTCATACCCCACATCTGCAGCACACAGGGGCAGGATTTTGCTGCAAGTGGCCAGAGGAGAATTTGCAGGTACAGCGTAGGGCAGTCACATGCTACAGAGCCTCCCCCCGAAAGAACCCTAGCAGAGAACAGTTTCCAGCAGGGGTGGGCCTGGGAGCAGTAAGGAGAATTTCTGCTGCTCCAGATAATCCGAGTTTCTCGGGACTGTCCATAAATTAGAGCAACCCCAGGGCTGCTCTAATTGACACCTGGGACTGATTTGGAGAAGCCCAGAATCACAAGCCCCGGGATTGCACTTCCCCTGCTGCACAGAATCTCTGCAATGCACAGCATTAGCACGCTTCTTAAGAAACTCTTCGAGAAGCTACGGTTCTCAACTCGCTCTGGGCAGCCGTGACTTCACAGCAGCTATATTTAAGCTATTGTTTCCTCTCCCAACCTCGGTGGGGGAAATTCACATCTCTGCAGAGGGCCAAGTGCAAAGGCCAATGCCCAATTTCCAGCCTGCAAAAGAGGACTAGAGTGGTGTCTGGACTTTGTGGGGGTTCTCTACACAGCGGTGAATTTCATTCCGTGCACCCAGCGTCTTCAAGGCAGGGCATGTCTCTTGCTAGGCGCCTGTGATTCATACAAGTTGCATGTCTGTAAGTGTCACTCTGATCGTCAAATCTGACCCCCACCCCCCCCCCCCCCGCATAAGCCAGGCCAGAGATTTTCACCTACAGACGCCAGCTTTGATTAGAATTCAGCAAAGAACTTAACACACGTACCTCTCGTTAACCACTTCCTTAAGCCCCATTACGGTCAATGGGACTGGAGCACACTGCTAAAGTTAAACCCACGTCCAAGTTCTTTGCTGGATAAGGATGTTTTGCTGAAATGGGCCCTAATTGACATGATTGAGTCCAACAGGAACAAAGCATGCAGGCCACGCTTACAGGATGCGGGGGTGGGGGGTGGGGGAGGGGGGCACTCTGTCTTGGGAAGCAGGGACTCCGAAAGAGATTCGGGGGTCATGGGGGATAATCAGCTGAACATGAGCTCCCAGTGCGACACTGTGGCCTAAAGGGCTAATGCGATCCTTGGATGCATAAACAGGGGAATCTCGAGTAGGAGCAGGGAGGTTATTTTACCTCTGGATTTGGCCCTGCTGCGACCGCTGCTGGAATCCTGTGTCCAGTTCTGGTGACCACAGTTCAGGAAGGACGTTGCTAAATTGGAGAGGGGTCAGAGACGAGCCACGATTAAAGGATCAGAAAACCTGCCTTGAAGTGATAGACTCAAGGAGCTCAATCTATTAACAAAGAGAGGGTTAAGGGGTGACTTGATGACAGTCTATAAGTATCTACATGAGGAAGAAATATTGAATAACAAGCTCTTCAATCTAGCAGAGAAAGGTTCTAACATGAGCCGATGGCTGGAAGTTGAAGCTAGACAAATTCAGACTGGAAATAAGATGTAAATTTTTAATAGTGAGAGTAATTCATCATTGGAACAATTTACCAAGGGTCGTGGTAAATTCGCCATCACTGACAAGTTTTAAATCAACCCTGGGTGTTTCTTCTATAAGATCTGCTCTAGGAATTATTTTGAGGATGCTCTCTGGCGTGTGTAATACAGGAGGTCAGACAAAGCGATCAGAATGGTCCCTTCCGGCCTGGGAATCTCTGAGGAGCTCGTAGTTAAACTGGGGTTAGTTCAATCGGTTTGTGACAAGGGCAGATATTCTTGTTCTTGGACCTTTTCCGTGGAATCTTTTTAATCACCATTTTTTGTTTTCAAACATCATCATTTTGAAATGTTTTGATCTCAAGACAGAGAAACGTTTAGAAGAGGTTTAGAAAACATGATCGACGAGGAGAGGTTGAAGAACTGTACGTGTTTAGTCGAGAGGAGAGACGGATGAGGGGGGACATGAGACCAGTCTTCCAGTACGAAAAAGGTTATTATACAGAGGGTGTAGATCAGTTGCTCTCCATGGCCACTGAAGGTACGATAAATAGTAATCAGCTTAATTTGCAGCAGGAGAGAATTAGGTGAGATTTTAGGAAAAACTTTCTAACGCTAAGGGTAGTTAAGCACTGAAACAGGTTAGCTAGGGAGGTTTTGGAAGCTCAGTCACTGGAGGTTTTTAAGAATAGGTTAAACAAACACCAGTCACGGATGGTCTAGGGGTAAATATGGTCCTGGCTCAGTGTGGGATGAGGGAGGGGGAAGGTGGGCTACATGACCTCTTGAGGTCCCTTCCAGCCCTACATTTCTGTGGTTCTCTGTCTTCAAGATTGAAAGATGTTCAATCTGAAACAATAATGTTGTGTGACTGAGCTGGCCAATCAAGCTCGGCCATGCAACATAGTAATTAAACCTTGAAAATGGAAAGAGAAAGCACCGAACCAGAGATTTCAGAGGGGCAGCCGTGTTAGTCTGTATCAGCAAAAACAACAAGGCGTCCTCGTGCCACCTTAGAGACTAACGTTGTTCGAGCCAAAGATGTTTACAAATGGGAAAATGTTTCCAGCCAAAAATGTTGCAAATGGGAAACCTTTGAGAAAATCAAAGCTGGGAAAGCAAAGTAATAATAGTGATGCCGAATCCTGCCTGGGCCATTGTAGGTTGCTCAGGGCACGACCCAGGCTCCACCATCCCTGGGCCGCTCTATGCCTGTATTTGGGGTTGTCATGTTCTGTACGTTCTCTGTCTCTGGGAGGACAGCTCGATGGAGGGATTCTTTGCTAGGCCCCCTTTGCATGTTCTTCCAGCTGCCCGATGGCCAATGCTCTGCTTCATTCTTAACATAAGAACGGCCAGACTGGGTCAGACCAATGGTCCATCTAGCTCAATATCCTCTCTTCCAACAGTGGCCAAAGAAACCACATCCCAGATCTTTCCAACTTCTGTTCTGGATAACTTTAGAGAGCAGGTGATGTTGGACTCTTGGCATTTGTTATTAATTAATTGCTTTAATGTCTAGTAATTTTCTAAGGCATTTGCTTTCCAAGGTATTTAGACATCTGTCTATGCCTTTGGTGGATTTCCAGCTTTCACATCTATACATTAGGGTGGAAATAACGTTTGAGCTGAACATTCATAGTTTGGTCTTTAAACTGTAGATTTGCAATGACCAAATCGTGTTTAAGCTGGTCCAAGCAGCTGCTACCTTGCCAATTTGTGACATTATTTCCTCCTGGACTTTCCGTTGGCGTGCACGGTACAGCCAAGGTATGCAAATTGACAATATACATAATGAACACAATAGACAATAATTAAGAATAATGCAATCAAACAGAAAAAGAACTTGAAAAACAACAAACAAATATGGTGAAGAATAAAAAAAGGGGGGGGGTCATTTAAAAGTGTGGGAAATGTAAAATATTGAGAAAATGTTCATATTTTCCTAAAAATTCCCATTTTCAAGAAAAGGGCCAAAATTTCACCCCATTGCCTTTACATTAAAAGTCAGACAGCTCTCCAGTCATCCCAGACTGGCCTACGAAGGGAAACCAGATGAACAGGGGAGTGTATAGGCCCCAATCCTGTAATCAACTCCCTGTGGGCATCGGATTCTACCCACGCTGGGGATGTATTTTTCTTTGAAACGGTCTTTCGTACACCAGGTTCCGATTGTTTTTCACCAGACGTTGGCTCTTACAGGTCCCCCGAGTCCCCGGTGGCATCGGACAGCGCTGTGGGTCGGATGGATTGGGAACGTTGTCCTGGTGATGGCTGTGATAGCGCTGGGGATTTGGGGTGAGTAGCTGACAGCTCCGTGTTTATTTGTGCGGGTCCATCAGTGTATAGCATGGATTAGCCTGTCCCTCCAGCACTCCATTGTGGAGCCCCTCCCACTAGCTGGTACATTTTTTTGATGCTCCGAAGAGCTTGACTGTAACGTAGAGAGAAAATTAAATATATAGGGAGATGGGTGTGAATGGGGATGGATGGATAACTAGATAGATCCAGGCATACACTGGAACTGGTTAAAAATAAGGGGGGGAATTTACTGATATATTTTTAAAAAAATCCTTGTCACTCTCTGTTCAAAATTCAAAAGATCCCCCTAAATTCTGAAAGCTCAGAATTTGAAAAGCTCTGCAAGTTGGCTGAAAAATGGGAGGGATTGAGGAGAATTATGTGACAGTTTCATCAATATTTTTCCTCATTTTTTGTTTCAAAGTTCAAAATGACACCATTTTAACATTAGAAAAAAACTTCAGCCAACTGTAAAACTAGCCCTAGTTGAGAATTTGTCATCCAAATGTGTTTTTAAAAAGGAAAATTTGGATTTTGCTATATGTGTAGTGCTCCCTATCCCCCCCGGTTACCTTCTTTAGCACCAATCCCCTGACACGTTTTGAGGGACGGGCCTGGGTTCTTCTGGATCCCGCCTCCCGCTCCCCAGGGTGTAACATTTTTATTTGCTTCCCGTATGAATTTATTTGCTGGTGCCGCTACCCACCTCACTTCTGCCTGGCAGGGTCACCAGGGCAGCTTGGGAGGAAAATTCTCAGCCCAGGGTAACCCCCACTTACTTGCCAGTTAGCTGGAGACTCCCAAGAAATAACACAGACACATACAATATATTCCACACCGTCATTATATTAGACAGGAGATAAATATAACACTATTCCAGGGGAAACCGGTGTCCACGCTGATAATACCCATGAATTTCCCCAGTCACGTGACCTGATCTAGCAAAGGTGAAATTAGTGCCCCGTTGGCGTGTGTACTTGTAGGGGCTCTTGACGACCTGTGACCACGATATCATCTGTGCCTGTTAGCAGCGTGGCTGACTGGGCTCAGTGCAGCCCAAAGGACTCACGCGTGGGATAAGGCCGTCAGTCCCGCCACGGGTTTAATAGTCAGCAGGTTATAAAATCCCCAAACCCAGACCCGCTGGCTTGAGGGCACATTTCCCAGGAGTAGGGGGGGTTTCTCCCGAACCATCTCCCTGACTAGCTAACGGAAGGATGGCGACTCACAACTCCACGCCGGATCCTCACGGTCAGAGATGGCTCTGGACTGCAGAGGGGCTGATGATCACTGCGGGCAGGCGTCCTCTTCATGCAGGGGCAGGCTGCTGCTGCTCCCAGGATTTCTCCTCACCTCCAAGGGGTGTACGGCTCCGGGGGTAGGTTACTAAACTAGCCTAAAAATCCTAACTTCAGTCTCCCACTGCAGCGCTGCACAGACCCACAGGGAGACACAGTCCCTGCCCCAGCTGAGATCAGGGCCCCGTTGTGCCGGGCGCTGCCCAGACCCACAGGGAGAGACAGGTTCCCCCCCCCCCCCCGCCCAGAGCTCACAGTCAAAGCAAAAGAGCTGAAATTACTTGGCCAAGATCGAACACAGATCTGTGGCACAGCTAAGATTTGAATCCCGATTTCCTACCCATTACCTCACGCTGCCTTTCCATTAACCACGCTGGGCCAGGACTGGCCAGTACCACCAGATGGGAGTTTCAGAGCCATTGTTGAAATTTCAAAAATTGAAACATTTCCATTTCCTAAAAAATCTGGGGCAGGGGGAAATTATCCTAGGAACTCCCCCCCCCCCTGCCCCCGGCCCTCCGGCTTTTCATCAACGTTGGGCATTTCAGTACAAATGGCATCAAAATGTAATATTAGAATAATGTAGCTGGTCGATAAATGGAGAAAGAACGTCACCAAAATATGGCTGGGGATTTTTCCCCTGAATATCTTGTTCCCATCAGCATGCTGACATGTCAGACAGAGCTGGCTGTTCGCAGCGGGATGGTGGGACTGGGCCGGAGCTCACAGGTTCTCGGAGAGGAAGGCTGGCTCGGGGGTTAGGTGCTAATCTGGGACTCAGGAGCTCTGGGACCAGTTCCTGGGTCTTACACAGATTCCTATGGGATCCTGGGCTGGTCCCTTAAGGCTGGAATTCCACAGGGGTTTAGGCACCTAACAATTCAGCTAGGCACCTAGTGGGTTGTTTTTAGGCACCTAATGCTTATTGAAATCAATGGGAATTGGGCACCTAGGACCTAATTTCTCAAATGTATGTAGGTGCCCAACACCCAAGGGAATTAGGAGCCTAAATCCTGTTGAGGATCTGGGCCTAGGTGCTTCTGAAAACCCCACTCGGGGCCTATCTGCAGCTTTAGGTGCCTAAACCCCTTTAATAATCTGTCCCCATGAGCCTCCCCTGCGTCACAGGGAATGCGGGTGAGGGACAGAGAAAACAAGTGAAGGGGGCTGGTTAAACTCCGCAACAGACAGGCTGCGCCCCTCACCTTGGGATCAGGGTGGCTGCATTGGAGGGGGAGGCTTCTGGGAGCCCTGTTTTGACTGAGCCAACTTCCACAGCATCAGAGAGCCCCTGACGCCGGACACTGTGACCAGCAACCTGACGCCCACATGGTTGCAGCCCAGCATCTCAGCTTCCTGTGCGATCTCACACCCCAGCCCACGCGGCTCCCGGCCCCTCCTCTCACTAGAGCACGACGCAGGGCGAGGAGGGCTACACAACATTAAACCTGCAGCCCCAGAGGAGTGGCTCAGGTGGCCTGTCCCCAGCCCGGAACCCAGGATGGAGCTCTGTGCCTCAGTTTCCCCACATGTACAATGGGGATAACAGCCCTGTGCCCTGCCTCACAGGGGGGTTGAGAAGATAAAGCCAGCACAGACTGGGAGGTGCTCTGATACACCGGTGATGGGCACTGGGAAACTTATACAGATGCAAACATGGGCTGGGTTTGCAAAGAGTCCCTAGGGATAAAGGTACCCAGCTCCCACTGATTTTCAGTCCAGACCCATTTTTTTAGATCAGGGCCCTTTGGGGCTCCTCTGAAGTCCATTGGAGTCAGTGGTGATGGGGCAGAACAGGCTCTGGGGCAGGTCCTGTGTCTCTGCAGGCCTCTGTGCTGGTGCTTTTACCAGCAACTCCCACAACATTGACCGGGCGCCCTCACTCCCACCGACGCTGCTTTGCAGTTTCCTTCTTGGTATCTGAGAAGGGACAGACCCCGGCAGCCCCTGGGAGCGACGGAGCCGGGCGCAGAGATACAGCGACACCCCCTGGGAGCGACAGAGCCGGGCGCAGAGATACACCAACACCCCCTGGGAGCAGAGACCCCAGCACGGTAGAATGCAGCGCCCATCTGGAGCGTTTCCGATCCCAGCTGAGCCAACGTCTGTGTCCCCCGGCCCAGCCCGGCCCAGCAGGTAACCCCAGCTCGTGTGTCTCTGAGCCGCCCTCCGCCCCGGGCACGGCCAGTGGAAACCCAGCGGCTGTCCCAGCCCGTGGGGATCCTGCAGGGCAGGGACACGCCGCCCCCTGCTGGCTGCACCCATCTAGCCACCAGCCCCGCTGGGTGCCAGGCGAGGAATATGAATGGACGTCCTGCGCTGGGACTGTGCACGGGGCAGCGACATCTACTGGCCGTTCAGGTTAATACACAGCCACGAAGATTTTAATAGCAACATAATACAAAGCTGTCCAATTTTTTTCAGTGTGTGTGGGGGGGTTTTACATCTTATTAGTGAGATTGTCTTACGGTCCCATCCACTCCCATTCCCTGCCATCTGGGCCCAATGTCCCCTCCCATTCCCCCCTGGGTCCCAGCCTCCCCTCCTGTTCCCAGTTTAACACCACCCCTTCCCTCCAGTTACTCCAAGACCCTACTAGGCCATTCTCGTAGTGTAAAGGGGCCTTAAAGTGGGTACATTGGCCCCTGAGAATCTCCCCTGTCCTGGGGGGGGCCTCTCCAGCTGGTATGAAGCTGGGGTAAGGGCCCTCACCCACCCCGTTCCCAACCCCCACAAAGGGGGGCAGATTGGTAGTGTGGCTAGAGTGCAGTGCGCTGTGGGTCTTCTCTGCTCTCCAGGGCCCATCTGGGAGCAATGGATAAGGCAGAGCAGCCCCGAGGCTGCTGTAACTGATACTGGGAGCCAGAACTGATACCTGGCCCAGCCCCAGATTTCAGGGAGCACAAAGGGGACTCAAGCCCATTTGAACCCCGTTCCTGCCCCAGTCGCAGGAAGGGAGTAGCCGGGAATGAGGCCCAGAGGGCTCAGAGCATTAATGAATCCTGTCTCCCTGCAGGGGGCGCCAGGTGCAAACTCTGCCCCACGGACTGGCAGCTGCGTGGGGACAAGTGCTACTGGGTCGGCAGAGAAAGTAAAACGTGGAGCGAGAGCCGCTCCGACTGCTCAGCGAGGGGCTCCCAGCTGCTGGTGATCCGGGACCCCAAGGAGCTGGTAAAGGGGATGATCCCTTCCTGCTGGAGCTGCCCCTGCAGGGCTGGGCCCTGGGTGCAGTGTCCAAGGGCATGCATAGGTTACATGGTAGGGCTGGGATTTTCAAAGCTGCTTGGGGGATTTGGACACCCTGTTCCCATTGTTAATAATGGGGTGTCCAAACCCCCTATGCGGCTTTGACAATCCCAGCCTAAATCACTAGCCTCAGGATCAGGGGCACACAAAGGCAGTTTAAAGCCACCGATACCCTCCTCCTTCTGGGGTGTGCCCAACCCAGCTCAGCTGGAGAGAGGGGCTGGGGGTGTGTGAGGATGGGTGGCTACAGAGAGAGGGCGGTTGGACGGACGGATGGATGGATAGAGGGGTGTATATGAGGGATAGTTGGATAGATAGATGGGTGTATACGGGGACAGATGTATGCGGATGGATAATGGGTGTATATAGGGATAGATGGACAGACAGACAGACAGAGGTTCTGATCCTGAGGTTGTCGACAACCTGGATTCACAAGAAAAGAGCCTGACAGCACATCTGGTCACCAGCTGCCTGTCCCACGCTCCCTGCAGGAGTTCCTAAAGGACCTGACACAAGGTTCACGTCTGTTCTGGATCGGACTGTCCGTCTCCTCCCCGGAGAAGGCCTGGACCTGGCTGGACGGCTCCCGGTTGGATCAGACCCTGTGAGTGATTCCTTGAGTCAAACACTTTTCCTCCCCTCTGTGGGCAGCAGGGGCCAGGGCCAGGGATTGGGGAGGTTTGGGGGGAAGGTCGGGAGATCAGGGGAGCCGTGTTCAGTGTCAGATGATGCTGAGACCCCAGGCGGGGGGCTCGGGAGCCCGGCTGAGAGAGGGGCTGGGTGGGAGCAGACAGGGCCATGGGGCAGGGAGAGATTTGCGCATCCCCCAGCACAGAGATGGTGGCTGGAGCCCTGGGGGCGCGGGAGGTGGCCCAGAGTCGGGGAGGGAGAGGAGCAAAGGGGCCAGGCCAGAGCCCTGGGGATCCCCCAGACAATGGGGCAGGGGGGAGGGGGAGACACAGAGCAGCCAGAGAGGCAGGAGGGGATCAGGAGGGGGCAGCGTCTGCCCAGCCGGGTGGGGAGGGGACGCAGAACAGGGGAGGGAGATGGACAGGGTCTAGCCCAGCAGGGAGGATGAGGAGGGAGCAGGTCGCTGGGCTCTGGGCAGGGAGAGGCCGTTCGAGACCCTGGCCAGGGCCCTGACAGTGGGGAGAGGGGGCAGCCCCCAGGGCAGAGCTGGAGGAGACGATGGCTGCGGATCCCGTTGGAACAGGGAAGAGCCACTACCGACTGCGTGTGATGGACCCACACGCGCTGACAGGGGCCCTCTCCTCTGTCCCGCAGGCTCCCGGTGTCAGGCCCGGCTGAGGGGAACAGCTGTGGGGTGGTGAAGGAGAATCAGATTGGTTCTGACATCTGCAGCTCTGCATTTCAGTCGATTTGCCAGAGAGACACCGTCCCGCTCTGAGCAGGGCATCCATGGCCCTTTAATAATGGAAAGGAGCCTTTCATCAATAAAAGCATCTTTAACACTTTATAGACTGCCTGTCATGTGAGGATTTCAAAGCACCTCCCAGCGCTTAGTCAGACTCATCATCCCCATTATGTGGCTGAGGAAACTGAGGCACCGACAGCAGAATCGACCTGGGTAGCGTTGCCCAGAGAGTCAGTTGCAAAGCTAGGAATTATGCCCCCAACCCTGGACGCCCAGTCCCTCTACTCTAACCCACTAGACCCCCCACCCTTCGCGTAGAGCTAGGAGACAACCCAGCAAGCCTGACACCCATCCCCCCAGCTCTAACTCTTTAGGCCCCACTCCCCTCCCAGAGCTGGGGATAGACTCCTACACGAACAATGGGGCAGCTGCCCCCTCTCAGCGCAGTTGTCTCAGGCTCCCGGCAGACTCAGGCAGCGTTGCTGGGTCAGTTCCTCCGTGTGACAATCTGCCTGGGGACAAAGCATGAAACAGTCCCTGCAGCTGTGTAAAGGGGACGACGATCCCTCCCTGGGGGGCAGATGTTGGCCATCCCTGTGGGTGATGGGCTCGGAGGCTCGAGTAACGGGAGCCAGCTAAGCCCCTGGACAGACTGTGCCCCTCACCCTGGTATCAGGGCAGCTGCAGCTGCCAGGGGGTTGGAGCGTCCGTGGCTGGCTGGGAGTGCTGTTGCGGCTGAGCCAGCATCCTCCCGAGCAGGTGGGCGGAGCTGAGGCCAGTGGGGCTGACCGGCCCCCTGCCACCCACACATGTCCAGGGCAGTGACTCAGTTTCCTGTGCAGTCTCACAGCTGGGCCCCTCTCAGAGGTGCAGACGCTTCCACTCCAGCAGGAGGGCAGCCCTGCCCCACGCTCTGCCTGGGGACGATGCAGGACGAGGAGGGTGAAATGGGGCTGGGCAGCCCGTCTGCAGCTGGGAACCAAGGTAGTGACTGTAACCCCCTCCCTTCCCCTGCCCTCCCCGCCATGGGATCCATGTCCCAGCAGTAGGGTGGGGTCAGGGCTGGGGAGCGGCAGGGTCTGCATGGAGCTGGGATATTTTGGGCATAGGACAGATGAGAGGGTTTGATCCTACTGATCCCAGCTCCCCCCTGAGCACCTGACTCCCAGCCCTCCCTGCTCTAACCCACTGCACCGCACTCCTCCCCCAGAGGGGGGATAAAACCCAGGCCCCTTGCCCCCCCCCCCCCCCCGCAATTCTACCCACTATATCCCATTTCTCCCACCACCTCTCATTATTGGAATTAGCGGGATCACTACCAGGAGTCAAGGCTGCAGATCAGCCCTACAGGTGCAGGGACCCGGCAGAGGTGTGAGACTTGGGGTGCTGTTTATTTGTGGGGACTGCAGAACTAGCCTGAGCTCATGACCGATGAACAACTGTGTGTGTGGAAGGGAGGACTAGTGCTTAGAGCACCCGGCCGGGACTTACGGTTCCCTTCCTGGCTGAGCCACACACCCCGGGGGGACCTTGGGCAAGTCTCTTCATTTCTTGGGGCTGCAGCTCCCCATCTGTAAAATGGGGTAAAGATCCTTCCTTCATCTTGCCAGTTTGTGAGCAGCCAGGAGAAGGGGACTGTCTCTCGCTGTGTGTCTGGGCAGCGCCTGGCACCACGGGGCCCTGATCTCAGCTGGGGCAGGGACCATCTCTCCCTGTGTGTCTGGGCAGCGCCCGGCACTGCTGGGCCCTGATCTCAGCTGGGGCAGAAACCTCTCCCTGTGTGTCTGGGCAGCGCCCGGCACTGCTGGGCCCTGGTCTCAGCTGGGGTCTCTCACCACTACTGTTGTAATAACGGAATTTGTTCCCCCCCTGCAATTTAAAAGAGACAGATCTGCAAGTGGTGTAAATCAGGATAATTTCTCGTGAAGTCAATGCACTTGGAGCATTTCTCACAGCTGGGATCTGGCCCCATGGACTGCCGCGGGGCTACGGCTGATTGACAGCAACGAGATCTGGCACGGAGCGTTTAAGGCTAGAAAATGTGTATCTGTGGAGCCTGGTTGGTTGACAGCAGCTGAGGCTCGTCCTCCAATGCTAGCAGTGAAATAATCCACTAGGTTCACGTCTGTTCTGGATCGGACAGTCCGTCTCCTCCCCGGAGAAGGCCTGGACCTGGCTGGACGGCTCCCAGCTGGATCAGACCCTGTGAGTGATTCCTTGAGTCAAACACTTTCCCTCCCCTCTGTGGGCAGCAGAGGCCAGGGCCAGGGATGGGGGAAGTTTGGGGGGAAGGTCGGGAGCTCAGGGGAGCTGTGTTCAGTGTCAGATGATGTTGAGACCCCAGGAGGGGAGCTGGGGAGCCCGGGTGAGAGAGGGGCTGGGTGGGAGCAGACAGGGCCATGGGGCAGGGAGAGATTTGTGCATCCCCCAGCACAGAGATGGTGGCTGGAGCCCTGGGGGCGGGGGAGGTGGCTCAGAGACGGGGTGTGGAGGGAGAAGAGCAAAGGGGCCAGGCCAGAGCCCTGGGGATCCCCCAGACAATGGGGCAGGGGGGAGGGGGAGACACAGAGCCGCCAGAGAGGCAGGAGGGGATCAGGAGGGGGCAGCGTCGGCCCAGCCCAGTAAGCGGGGAGACAGGGAGCAGGGGAGGGAGATGGACAGGGTCTAGCCCAGCGGGGAAGACGAGGAGGGAGCAGGTCCCTGGGCTCTGGGCAGGGAGAGGCCGTTCGAGACCCTGGCCAGGGTCCTGACAGTGGGGAGAGGGGGCAGCCCCCAGGGCAGAGCTGGAAGAGATGATGGCTGCGGATCCCGTTGGAACAGGGAAGAGCCGCTACCGACTGCGTGTCCCGCAGGCTCCCGGTGTCAGGCCCGGCTGAGGGGAACAGCTGTGGGGTGGTGAACGAGAATCGGATTGGTTCTGACACCTGCAGCTCTGGATATCAGTGGATTTGCCAGAGACGCCTCGTCCCGCTCTGAGCAGGGTACGGAGGAGACCTCAGAGCGTGGCACCGTTAGCCCCATGTCACACATGGGGAAACTGAGGCACAGACACTGACCTGCCTGAGATTAGGGCGAGTGTGTGGCAAAGTAGAAATGGAACCCAGGAGTCCTGACTCCCAGCCCCCCTCCCTCTAACCCCCAGCCTCTCCCCCTCTCCCAGGGCTGGGACTAAAACCCAGGAGTCCTGACTCCCAGTCCTCCCTCAGGCAAAGGAGTTTAAAGGGGTTAATTCCATTGAGAAGAACAATTCCAAGCTCTGGGGTTACCTGTCCCAGCAGGAGTTGGAGGCGCTGCGGGGGCAGGGCTTGGGCCGCAGGGGTAATGCTCTGCACAGCCCTGGGGCAGTTTAGCCCCGGACGTGGGAGGGAGGAATCTGCCAGATTCCCCCTGGTGTAAATCAGCATTCAGCCAGGGACTCCAGTGGAGCAGCACTGACTGACCCGAACTGGGGATCTGGCCCCATTGACTCCGTGGTGCTATGGTGGATTCACGCCAGGTGTGGATCTGGGGTTTCACCTCTATTTCACTCCTGGTTAATTTCTTTGCACCTCTCTGCCAGGTCCCTCTCGGAGCTCTCTTCCCCGGCCCATCCACTGCTCCCGTCCGCACCTCTGCCCAACCTGCCCTAACGGATCGTTAACTCCTGTCACTAATGGTGGGGTCTCAGCTTCCCCAGTCAGGCATCAGAGCTTTACCATGCTGACGTGCTGTCCCCTTGCTATCTCCTCAGAGCATCGCTAAGGGGATCAGTCCCTCAATCCCAAAGGGAACCTTTCCATGCGTGTTGCTTGGTGATCTCTGGGGTCACTGTCTCTGTCAGAGGAGCCGGGTGGGGACGCTCAGGGGCACTATGGGGAGGGCTGGGGGCTAACGAAGGCCTTGTTACTCAGTGGCCCGGCAGCCCAGGAGGAGATGGACTGGGAAAGCTGGAGGGCAGGTTGGCTGACCAAGCCAAACAGACCCCAGTGTCTTTAGGAGCCGCCACCCCCCGAGACAGCTGGGCTTGTGACTGCCAGAGAACAGAACTGGTCTGGTCTGCGGGAGAGACAGGGCTGGCGAGCGTACACACATTTTGGGTTTGGTCATCGGGGCCGGATGAACGCACCATACTGATGGCGATGTCTGGGGAGGGAGGCAGTGTGGCCTAATGGATAGCACACTGGACTGGGACATGGAAAGCTGGGTTGTGTTCCTGGCTTTCCTACAGAAGGGCCACCCTGGCGTTTGCTGCACCCTCTCTAGCCCCCAGCCTCGGCTGACGTGCTGGATGCCCCGTGCCTGCTGGGTGACTCCGCGTACGACACTTCATCTCTTTGGGTTTGTCTACACCAGGGTTCTCAAACGTTATTGCACCACGACCCCCTTCTGACAACTAAAATTACTACACGGCCCCAGGATGGGGGACCAAAGCCTGAGCCCGCCCAAGTCCTGCTGTCCCGGGCCGGGGGGGCGAAAGCCAAACCTCAGGGGCTCCAGCCCTGGGGATGGGGGACTGCAACCTGAGCCCTGCCACCCAGGGCTGAAATCCTGGGGCTTTGGCCTCAGGCAGTGGGGCTCAGGCTTCGGCTTCAGGCCCGGGCCCGAACAAGTGAAACACCAGCCCTGGATTTGAGGCCAGGGGAGAGGAGCTCCTCCCTTGGCCCCGAGCTGCTGGGGAGAGAGAGGGCTGGGGGGGAGTGCTCTCTCCCCACCATACCCCAGGGCAACCTGCACCCCAAATCCCTCATCCCCGGCTACATCCCAGAGCCCGCATCCCCAGCCAGAGCCCTCATCCCCCCTGTAGCAAGGCGGTGTGGGTCCCTGCCGCCCCCCCAGAGAGGGATGAGCACCCTGGACACCAGAGTGGGCGGAGCCAGGGAGCTCTGAGCCCGCCCCCCAGAGGGTCAGGCATGGCACAGGAAGGATAAAGGCCCCACCCCAGAGCCCCTGGCCTGCGTCCCCACTGCCACCCAACTCGCGGGTGGGAGCCCCCACTCTCCCAGGCCTGACTCACCCTTGGCCTGCCCTGAGCCAGGGCCTGGGCTGACAACTAACTGTGGTTTTGCCCTCACAAAGGCCGGGGGGGGGAAGACTCCTGCGGCTGGACTAATTCCCTGCTCGGCCTTCTCCCCAACTTAGTGAGGCGGTGGGGGGTCCCTGCCGCCCCAGGGAGAGAGGAGCCCTGGCTAACCTCATTACACCCCCACACCCCAACCCTCTGCCCCAGCCCTGAGCCCCCTCCCACACTCCGAACCCCTCGGCCCCACTCCCACCACATGAACTTTGGTAAGTGCACCCAGAGGGAGGTGCTGTGTCACGTCACATAAAATTCATTCCGCACATGGATGTAGATCATTAGAGGGAACAGTGGTTGTGACCCACTTTGGGGTCCCGACCCACAGTTTGAAACCGCTGGTCTACACTACAATTAGACACTTGGGTCAGCTGGCACATGGGGCTCGGGCTAAGGGGCTGTTTAATTGCCAGGTGGACATTTCTGGCTCGGGCTGGAGCCTGGGCTCTTGGACCTTTCCACCTCGTGGGGGTCCCAGACCTCGAGCTCCAGCCAGAGCCCCAGTTGCTATACTGCAGTTAAACAGCCCCTTCATTTGAGGCCACGTCAGCTGGCACGGGCCAGCCGCAGGTGTCTAACTGCAGTGTAGACACCCTTTGTGGTTCACTTTCCCCATCTGAGAAACGGAGATAATGAGACTTTGTGAAGTGCTTTGAGATCTACCGTTGGACAGCTCTAGATCAGACCGAGGGATTATTTCTATCGCACGAACATTAAATATTGCTGTTAAACCGTGCAAAAGCAGAGTGTGTTTATTCTTGATGTGCCGAAGAGCGGACAGAACCCTGGCTTGGGATTCAGGACAACTGGGTTTATTCCTGTCTCTGACCTGTTCTGTGACTTTCCACGAGTCACTTACACTCTCTGTGCTTCCGTTTCCTCTCCCAGCCTTTGTCTGTCTTGTCTGTTTAGACTGTGAACTGCTTGGAGCAGGGACTGTCTCTCGCTGTGTGTCTGGGCAGCGTGAGACACAACGGGGCCCTGATCTCAGCTGGAGCCTCTACCTGCTGATGTGATACTGTCATAAATATAAAGAAAAGGGTAGCATAAAATCCCTCGTTGGCAGCTGTACTGAATCGCTTTATCTCTAAGGGGTTAAGTAGCTCAAATCACCTAGTCAGCACCTGACCAGAAGGACCAATGAGGAAAGAAGATACTTGCAAATCAGGGGGAAGAGAGAATTTCTTTGTTGTTGCCTCTCCAGACAGAGGGAGAGACCAAGCAGATACATCTCCTGAAAATATATCTGGAATGATCCATCTACAATTACAGCAATTGTAAGTAAGGCAAGGAAATGCATTACGTTATCTTTCGGTTTACCTTGTGAATTTTCCTATGCTACAAAGGTAGTTTTATTCCTGTTTTTGTAACTGTGAAGCTGAGTCCAGAGGGGAGTCCTCTGTGTTTTTAATCTTTTTATTACCCTGTAAAGTGACCTTCCATCCTGATTTTACAGGTGTGATTCTTTTCCTTTTTTCTTTATTATAAAGTTCTTCTTTTAAGAATCTGATTGATTTTAGTGTCCTAAAGATAAAGGGTCTGGTCTGTACTCACATCGCTAAAGCAATTAGTTGGTATATTATTCTCAAGCCTCCCCAGGAAAGAGGGTGAAGGGGCTTGGTGGGATATTTTTGGGGGGACAGGGATTCTTAGGGTATGTCTACATTACAAAATTAGGTCGAATTTATAGAAGTCGTTTTTTTAGAAATCGTTTTTATATATTCGAGTGTGTGTGTCCCCACAGAAAATGCTCTAAGTGCATTAACTCGGCGGAGCGCTTCCACAGTACCGAGGCAAGTGTCGACTTCCGGAGCGTTGCACTGTGGGGAGCTATTCCACAGTTCCCGCAGTCTCCGCTGCCCATTGGAATTCTGGGTTGAGATCCCAATGCCTGATGGGGCTAAAACATTGTCGCGGGTGGTTCTGGGTACATATCGTCAGGCCCCCGTTTTCTCCCTCCCTCCGTGAAAGCAGCAGCAGACAATCTGCTGATGAGCTCTGCATGGTCACCTCTGCTGATGAGTTCTGCATGGTCACCTGCAGCTTGCCACGCTGGCCAAACAGGAAATGAGATTCAAAAGTTCGCGGTTCTTTTCCTGTCTACCTGGCCAGTGCATCTGAGTTGAGAGTGCTGTCCAGAGTGGTCACAATGGAGCACTCTGGGATAGCTCCCGGAGGCCAATACTGTCGAATTGTGTCCACAGTACCCCAAATTTGACCCGGCAAGGCTGATTTAAGCACTAATCCACTTGTCAGGGGTGGAGTAAGGAAATCGATTTTAAGAACCCTTTAAGTCGAAAAAAAGGGTTTCATCGTGTGGACGGGTGCAGGTTTACATCGATTTAACGCTGCTAAATTCGACCTAAAGTCCTAGTGTAGACCAGGGCTAAGTGACCCTTACCTGAATTTTGTGTAAATCACTTGGTGGTGGCAGCAATACCGTCCAAGGACAAGGAAAGGAATTTATGCCTTGGGGAAGTTTTTAACCTAAGCTGGTGGAATATAAGCTTAGGGGGTCTTTCATGTGGGTCCCCACATCTGTATCCCAGAGTTCAGAGTGGGGAGGGGAACTATGACTGATACAAAGTTTATTTGTATCTTCCTGAGGCTTAGCACGGTGGTTAGCGAGCGTGTGTGTCACTGTTCGCAGTTTGTCTCATCAGGAATGGTTCCTGGGGATTGCACCTGGCCAGAGAGAACAGCCCGGCTCTTTGATCTCTCTCCCCCACATTCCAGTGGGCTCACGACAGACCCGTTCTTCCCCAGGGCAGAGACACCAGTGCGGAGCCCTGCCCTTTATAGGCAGAGATCAGAGAAAAGCCCAATGCGTGCAGTGCCCTTCCCCTCACCCAGATCACCACCCCAGTGGGCAGAGTTTTCTCTCATTCTGGGGGAGCCCCTCCCCAGCAGGCAGCGGGAAAGACAGGAAGGATGACTGAAAAACAGACACACTCACCTTGTCCTCAGCTCATTAGTCCTTGTGGGGAGGGGCGCTCACAGCCCTGGCAGGAGGATGCAGGTGCTGCCTCAGTTTCCCTCCTCGGTTGGGAGGAGCCATTCACATGAGGACTTAAGTTTACAAAATAAAAGTTTCCCTTCTGGGAGCTGGTGTATTATTATACAAATATTTATGTACACACATGTATATACACACACACACACGTCTATGCTAGCATGTTCCAGCCATCCCCTCCTGTCTGCGGCGTCTCTTCACACTCCCCCAGCACTCAGCAGGGCCTCCACAACAGCCCGTCTCGCTGTACAGCAGAGTTCATGCATCCAGGCTGCAGGGTTCACACCGGCCCCTTCACCGCATGGCTGCAGGGGCCACAGCACCTCCCGATGGCCCCAGCTGGTCCATTAGCCTCTAGCCACAGCTCGGGCCAGGCTCCTGCCCTGGGCCCCCGACAGGAGGGACACAGCAGGCTGGGCTGCTCCCCTTCTCATTTCCAAGTCAGAAGATCCCTTCTCTGTGACAGAGAGCGAGCTGGGGGATGCTGGCTAATCAGCACCCTCACCCCAGTCCCCAAATGGCCCAATGGGTGCCAGAGGCTCCAAGGGGAGGAGACATCAGATGTCCTTCAGCAAGCGTCTCTCTTCCTTGCTGCTGGGGCTGTCCCCCTTCGCCAGCCCCATCCAGTTCCCCAGTCACTGAGGCAGCTTGGGA